GCTACCGTGGGTAAATCTTTGTTTCAGAGAGCACGAGGGATCTGTGACAGTAAATACCTGGCCGCCGAGCTCCAACACGTCAAGCAAGTTTTGCACGACAATAAGCTTCTGGTCCCGCGCCTACGTCACAGTGAAAAAGTGAAGCCAGCCACAGTCGAGCAAATAAAATATTTCAGAGGTGTCACTGACAAGATTGGCTACATCTTGAAGCGTGCTTCCATTAAAACAAACTTCAAGCAAAAAAAAAAGAAGAAGATTAGTCAGTTTTTACCGTCAGTTAAGTGTAATGTCCCTCTGCAAGATGCAGGAATATATAAGCTTGATTGTGAATGTGGTCTCTCTTATATAGGACAAACTAAAAGATCCATAAATACCCGCGTTAAAGAACACAAAGCTAATGTGAAGAATCGACGCTCCGGGAAGTCTGCAGTCTGTGAAAACGTACAGAATCGCCACCGTCACTACATCAGATTTGATAGACCACAAATCCTCGCTAAAGAACACCGATTCCTTCCAAGGATAATTCGCGAGGCTATTGAAATCAAAAACATCCTAATTTCAATAGAGAAGATAGCTGGGTGCTACCATCTGCTTGGGATCCCATAATTAATAAAATTAAATCCCAACTCAAGCACATAACTGTAAGACTTCAAGATACTGCCTCTCTTTCGAAGAAAAATGAGGAACGGTTACAATGTTCTAAGCGCTCACTCCCTACATTATATCTAGTCAGGTCATAAATTCTGTCACATGTTTAATATAAAATAATTGAAACAAGTTTATTCATTATGTTTTGCTTTGTGGCATTCTTTGGGGGAGGCCTATGTAATCATTTATATACCAAAATGAATTTAACAAAACATTTTGGTAAACATTTTGGTGATTCTTATGACACTAAAGTTTATTCAAATTGACCTCCGTGATTTTGAATACAGGCCTTCAATCTGCGCGGTCAGTCGTCTATCGCAGCACGAACGAGGTCCATGTCAATATCGGCGGCTGCCTTAATCAAGGATGTCTTGAATGACACCAAATTGGGATGAGGCTTTGAACACGCCTTTTCCTCCAAGTGTTGCCATATCTTGTAATCTAACGGATTCAAATCTGGACTGGAGGAGGGCCAGTCTTCGTCCCGGATGAAGTCGATTTCACGCGCCGCCAGCCAGTCTTGTGTGCTCTTCGCTCTATGAGCTAGCGCCGAATCTTGTTGGAATAGCCAGTGCCTGTTATTGAACATGGTATGAGAAACAGGTTCCACAAGGTTCGTCAGGACTGTATTTTGATACACAACTGCATTCGTTTTTACACCTTTCTCACAAAAATGTACCTCTGTTAAGCCCCAATAAGAAACTCCCAACCATACCATGAGCGAGGATGGAAAATGACCTCGTTGGACACGCGGAATACGGTTGCTCGCTTCTTCACTACTATGTGCGTACACCTTATCATTTTGTTTGTTGTAGCTCTCTTCTACGGTAAAAATTTTTTCATCCGAAAAAAGAATTTCCCGATATTTTTTTCCCGCGTACCGCTTCAACAAAGCGCGGCATCTCTTCAGTCTCAGGTCCATTAGAGGAGCATTCAAACGATGTCCTGTTTTTCTTCGATATGCCCGAAGCCCTAAGTCTTCATTTAACACCCTTTTCACCGTGGTTCTGTTTAACCCCATCGAATTCGCGCCTTCACAGCTTTTATCACTGCTGGAGTCCTAACAGGCCAAGGGCGACCACTTCTTGACCTGTCATCTACACTCGAGTCTTCATTGTATCGTTTGATGGTACGATAAACGAATCTTTTGGTTATATTCAAATTTTTCAGTATGTCAAAAATTTGAATTGGCGCGTAACCGCAACGATGCAATACAATAACTGCAACACGGTCTTTTTTAACCGTCCACTCCATATTTAAAAATGAGTAAAATTCTAAAAAGTATACAGTTTTATTTTCATGAACCATTCGAAATTCGAATTCAATAAACTTTTTGTGGCCAGCATTCTAAAAGAAAATTAATACTGTGTGACAATACTTATGACCTGACTAGGTATTATAACCTCCTTGAATTGTACCTACAGATATTGTTGAAATAGGCATAATATTTTGGCAGCTTATTGATTTTCTCTATATCGAGAACTAAATTAATGGCATCCTATTAGTCTGTGATGAATGGTAAAAAAAAATTTTCTTAATCTTTGAATCCTTCAACGATCCAGACTTAGAATATACTCGCGTATTATAGACTTACATAGTGTGCAAAGAAGAAGAAAATTCCTTATGGCAAAAATGCAAGATAGAAAATGATACCAAATCTCATGACTCTGTAACCGATTTTGAACGACAGGTCGCCACAAGTCGGCACGCAAGAAATAAGCTCCTATAGTGCGCGCGACTGATGGCGTTCTTAATGTTACCAGCTTATTTAATATTTTTTCCTTCATTTAATCTTATTACTAGAATTATATAATTATATCAAATTACACACATCATACATCTCATGGCTGTTAGACGGGAGATGAAGCTACATTCTTCAACAGATTTGACAGCATACACGCAACTGAACAGACAGATCTCCAAATGCATGCGGCGGGACTTACGCAACTTCAATACAGCTTGTATTGAAGAAGCGATCGAGCGGAACCACGGCTCCAAAGTCTGCCAGAGATCTGTCTGCCAGAAAGAGCCAACTGCCAAAGCTGAAAACCGAGTGTGGCAGCATCGTTGCCGGGGCACCTGAGATTTTGAGTGAGATTGAGAGGTTTTATGGGCAGCTGTACACGTCATCGTTGGAGCCACACGCAAGTGTGAGTAACGATCCAAGAGCGAGTCTTATCCGACACTATCCGATGATATCCCGGACGTCAGTCTGAGCGAGATTAGAATGGCTCTCCAGCACCTTAAAAACGGCAGGGCCCCAGGCGAGGATGGAATTACAGCGGAGCTTCTGAAAGCGGGTGGAAGACCCGTACTTGAATTCCTTCAGAAGCTCTTTAATTCCGTCCTCCATGGTGGCATTACACCGGAGGCGTGGAGCAGAAGTGCGGTGGTCTTGTTCTTCAAGAAAGGTGACAACGCTCTCTTGAAGAACTACATACCGATTTTCCTTCTGAGCCGCGTCTACGTGCTGTTTTCGAAAGTCATTACGAATCGTCAGACTTGACGACTTCCAGCCGCCCGAACAAGCCGGTTTCTGAAAGGGCTTTAGCACCATAGACCACATACATACCCTTCGGCAAATTGTACAGAGGTCCGAGGAGTACAATTTGCCACTATGCCTGGCGTATGTGGACTATGAGAAAGCCTTTGATTCCGTCGAAATTTGGGCGGTGCTGCAGTCCCTTCAGCGGTGCCAAGTTGACTGTCGGTATATCGAAGTGCTGAAGTGTTTGTAGAAGTGAAGTAGGGCTACGACGGCTATCCGAATACAGAACCAGAGTATGAAACCGATCCAATTGCAAAGAGTTGTAAGACAGGGTGATGTTATATCCCCGAAATTCTTCACTCCTGCATTGGAAGATGTTTTCAAGCTTCTGGACTGGAAAGGATACGGTATTAACATCAATGGCGAGTACATCACTCACCTTCGATTTGCCGACGATATAGTCCTTATGGCAGAATCGCTGGAGGACCTAAGCACTACGCTCAATGACCTCAATAGTGTCTCCCAACGAATAGTTCTTAGGATAAACATGGACAAAACAAAGATCATGTTTAATGTCCATGTCACACCTACGCCGGTAGTTGGTGGAAGCACTAAGCTCGAAATTGTTGACGAGTATGTTTACCTGGGTCAAATAGTCTGACTAGGTAAGTCCAACTTCGACCGAGAGGTCAATCGACGGATTCAAATCGGCTGGGCAGCGTTCGGGAAACTACGACACATCTTCTCGTCAGACATACCTCAAAACCTTAAAACGAAAGTGTACAACCAATTCGTGTTGCCAGTGATGACTTACGGATCTGAGACGTGTTCCTTCACTGCTGGCCGTATGAGGAAGCTCAAGGTTGCTCAGCGAGCTTTGGAGAGGGCTATGCTCGGGGTTTCTTTGTGTGATAAACTTAGAAATAAGGATATCCGCAGTAGAACCAGAGTAACCGACATAGCCCAACGGATTAGTAAGATGAAGTGGCAGTGGGCCGGCCATATAGCTCGAAGAACCGACAACCGATGAGGAAGAAAGGTCCTTGAGTAGCAGCCTCGTACCGGTAGGCGAAGTGTAGGGCGACCCCCCACGAGTTGGAGTGACGACCTGATAAGACATGCAGGAAGTCGATGGATGCAGGTGGCTCAGGACCGTGCTTTGTGACATTCCTTGGGGGAGGCCTATGTTCAGCAGTGGACTTATGAAAGGCCGTAATGATGATGACGATGATGATCAAATTACATAAATGACCGAATTGATTAACAAAGCTCAGTTAAAAAACTATAATGTTCAGCTTAAACTTACAAAGACCTAATAAATATTAAACCCTATATTTATTGTTTAAAATTCGCATAATAGGTATATTTCTCGATTGTAACTTCGGTAAGTTTGACACTACACATTACAAGTTTCTATGGTAATATTTAAGTTAATATAAATTATTCCTTAAAAACATTTGAAAACGTGAGCGAGTTTGAGAAAAAAAAGCAAAAAACACGCTTCACTTTTATTTTTGGTATTCTTCTCAGCAAAGCCTTTTATTTGATATCCATATCATTGGAATGCACAAAAAATAACTAGTCCTGCATCTTTGGGAGTCCGCCATATTGGATTTAGAATGAGGTCACTGATTTTCATCTAAACTTAACGTATATGCAAAATTTCCGCTCCGTCGATAACCTAAAAGTTGTTCAAATTTAACTTTCAATTTTTTTTACATAATTACAGGTGAAGATATTATATGCGTATTAGAAATGACTATTATTATGATTAATGAACACTGATATTTTGTTTATATTGAATATTTCAAAAAAGGTATTTTAAAAATATTTATTATAAAGAACGAAATTAAAAGTCCATGGAAACCTTGTAAATCTTTTATTGAATACCTAGATCTATTTGTAAATTTGGTATAACAATGGTCCTGGAGTGGGTCAACGTCTTCCATTCTCACATCTTCATCAGAATCCATGCTAAAGTCTTCATCAGAAGACTCGGATGTGACGGCCTGTGACATTATTTATAAATTTATCCATTTAAACTGGCACCTTTTGTAATCGTAGCCCATAGTCTTTAAGCTACTACTCAACGTTGTTCTACCATATTTAAAATCAATATCAGCTTTCAATTACAACCAAAGTTTATTTATGGCAGGAATCTCTTTCTTCACAACATTAAACGACTAATTTAAATGCCTTATAGCGCCACGTATGAAAATCGTCTAAATCATAATTTTTTTCCTCCGGATCCTATTTCCCGGCGTCACAATTTTAGAAGATGAAGCTGCTGCTACATTATGTACCATCTTGAGTTATTTGGGTGCCGGTGAGTTCAAAAACGCCTAAAACATAATAAAAACAATGCATTAGAAATACATGATATTAATGACATGAGAAACAAAAAATGAACAAATCAAGAAAATTAGGGAGTTTTATTTGTTATGGCAGCACTAAAAATTACCTGTGAAATATGAAACGTGGGCTTTAACTTTGGAAAACGGTACTGTAGGCCCGTTATTGTCTCGTTCTTCTTCACTAGCACGTTTGATCTTCAAGATAATTTCCCTGTCAGCAATTTTAATCACTTTCGGCATAATGATGATGATTATTTACTGCAAAAACGAATAAAAACACGACAACTAACAATCTGTTTTGACACCTGTCATAAACAGTAAGATGGCGGCACACGCTTAGTTCCAATTTTGGCCGCGCGCAGAGTTATCTTGCGCGCAGTATAGATATATTGTAATTTTTTAGAGTGTAATAGTGGTTATTTTTAGGAAATTAATTTTTTCCGAAATTGTTACTTGCTCTGTAAGTGACTGTGGTGTTAATATTAGAAATAATCCAAATAATTGCACATTTCACGGGTAAAAATTCTCAAGACCTCGTCAATGTTATGACGCGTTTATTTTTGGTTAAAATTTATGTTATATACTGTTTAAAAATATAGAATAAATTCAATTATTTTGTTAATTTTGATATTATGCAAAGAAAAAATCACATTTTTTTTTATTTGCATGAATTTAGTAAATACATTTTTATACAAAATATTTTATATGTATCCTAGGAATTAACTCAACTATATCAAAAATAATATCGATATTTTTCTTGAATAGAATACATTTAATCGATAGACTTAGATCGATAAATCCTCGGTTTGCGTTCTATAAATGTAATTTTATTTTGCCGTTTCTCAAACAGATTCCCTCCGGATTCTATAATTAGAAAAAATTGTTAAGGTTCATTGTACGAGTTGGTTTAAATCCAAAGACATACTCAACAATTTGCAGCAAACATTTACTTGAGAGGTATAAAAGAAAAAGTATTATAAAATCAATTTTATTAAAAGGATCCATCCATTATTTGTATCAGTAAGTATAATATTGTTACAATAATAAGACTTCAAAAATTTTACTTTCAAAACTTTACATAAAAATAGAGACAGATTTTTATGCAATATAAAACTGTAGTACATTAAAGATAAAAAAATTTGAGATTATCCTATTTAAGCCATTATGAACCGAAATCAGTATACGGTGGTAGAGCCACGCAGCAGTTTTTGCTGTTGCACGTATGGGCCGGCTCGAGCGGGTTGGTACCACGACCTCACAGAATACCGGCGTGAAGTAGAGGCTCTGCTTCTGCATTTCGTCTGGTGAGTGCAGGTGGCCGGAGGCCCAATTCCGCTCAAAAACAAAACTGCTCGGTGCAAACTGAACAAAAATACCAAGGCGACCCCTGCCACGCTATCCGTGAATTTCTGCAACATCAGGGGACTTCACTCTAACCTAAACGCCGTCCACTACCATCTCGAGACGACGAAGCCGGACTTGCTCTTTCTGACCGAGACGCAGGTTTCCTCTCCGGCTGATATTTCGTATCTCTCCTACCCGGGGTACAAATTGGAGCACTCCTTTGTGCCTCGGGCTGGAGTTTGCGTGTATGTCAGAGAGGACATCTGTTCTCGACGCCTCGGCAGTCTTGAAGGTTCTGACCTGTCCATCCTTTGGCTACGCGTAGACAGCGACGACCATCCGCGCGTCTACGGGTGCCTCTATAGGTCCCATAGCGGTAATGACGAAACAGACCGACTCATCGACCACGTCCAAATGGCTACAGATTCCTTGCTACAACAGGTCCCATCCGCAGAGATCGTGATTCTTGGCGATTTTAACGCCCACCATGCCGAATGGCTCGGTTCTCGTTTAACCGATCATGCGGGGAGATCTGTTTATGACTTTGCCTTGGCATATGGCCTGACACAACTGGTTACTTCGCCTACGCGGATTCCAGATGTGGAGGATTATACACCTTCCCTGTTGGACCTTCTGCTGACCTCTCATCCGGACGGATATCTGGTTTCCGTCGATGCGCCTCTCAGCTCTTCGGACCATTGTCTGATCCGGAGTGTGGTGCCACTCACGCTCACTTCGCGGTTGCGTTCTGCAGGTTGCCGCCGTGTTTAGCATTACAGGTCGGCGGATTGGGACGGAATGCAGTCTTTCTTTGCATCCTATCCATGGGGGCGGGTTTGCTTCTCGCCGGATGATCCCAGCGCTGTTGCTGACTCTGTCACAGATGTGGTGCTACAGGGAATGGAATTATTTATTCCATCATCTGTGGTACCCATCGGAGGCAGATCTCAGCCGTGGTTTGGTCGCTCCTGTAAGACTGCATTACGCAGTAAGCAGGAGTGTTATCAAGCCTGGGCTGCGGCTTCGGCGACTCGGGATGTAAACACCAGCACACTTAAAAAGAAGTATAACTTCGCCTCCAGGTCCTTCAAAAGAGTTATTGCCAAGGCAAAGTCAGAGCACATGGGCAGAATTGGCGAGAAACTAGTTCGCCTTCCGTCGGGAACCCGTGCATTCTGGTCTCTCGCCGAGGCTGTCCAAGGGAATTTTTGTAAGCCATCACTACCATATTTGCACAGGGAGGACGACTCACTGGCCCAAGACGCAAAAGACAAAGCTGACCTTTTAGGCTCCCTTTTTGCGTCCAACTCGACTCTTGATGACAGGGGGAAAACACCGCCGACAATCCCGCGGTGTGAGTGCTCCATGCCGGATGTGCTGTTTTCACTGCGCTCGGTTCGCAAAGCACTTCTCTCCCTAGACATCCAGAAGTCGAGTGGGCCTGACGGAATCCCCCCAATTGTGCTGAGGACGTGTGCTCCGGAATTGGCACCGGTCCTAACGCGTCTTTTTCGGTACTCCTACTCCAAAGGCGTAGTGCCGAATTCATGGAAGACAGCTTTTGTCCACCTGATCCCTAATAAAGGCGACCGCTCAGACCCGTCCAACTATAGGCCTATCGCGATCACCTCCTTGTTCTCCAAAATAATGGAATCCATTATTAACTGCCAGCTCATCCGGTACCTTGAGGATCACCAGCTGATTAGTGACCGCCAATACGGTTTTCTTCGGGGTCGATCAGCTGGTGATCTTCTGGTCTACCTGACCCATAGATGGGCGGAGGCAGTAGAGTCCAAGGGGGAGGCGTTGGCCGTTAGTTTGGACATTGCGAAGGCCTTCGATCGGGTTTAGCACAAAGCGCTTCTTTCGAAGCTCCCTTCCTATGGGCTTCCCGAGAAATTGTGCAATTGGATCACCAGCTTCCTTGCAGATCGGAGCATCAAGGTCGTTGTAGATGGTGCATGTTCTGACTACAAGCCTATTAACGCTGGTGTTCCACAAGGCTGTGTGCTATCACCAACGCTGTTTATTCTGCATATCTATGATATGTTACTAACTGGTAACATTCATTTCTATGCGGATGACAGCACTGGTGATGCGCTATACACCGGCCGTGCCAATATTTCTCGGGAAAACGTCGCCGAGTACCGGAATAAACTTGTGTCTGAAGTCGAGTCTTTGCTGAACAAAGTCTCGGATTGGGGGCGACTAAATCTAGTCCAGTTTAACCCTCAGAAGACACAAGTTTGCGCGTTTACCGCTAAAAAGAACCCCTTTGTCGTATCTCCTCAGTTTCAAGGCACTCCCCTTCTTGCCTCAGCCAGTATCGCTATCCTCGGAGTCGACATATCGAGTGACGTGCAGTTTCGTGGTCACTTGGAAGAGAAGGCCAAATTGGCCTCTAAAAAGCTTGGCGTGCTCAGCAGAGCGGGACAGTATTTCATGCCGGCACACCGCCTGCAACTTTACAAGGCGCAGGTTCGGCCTCACATGGAATACTGTTCCCATCTCTGGGCAGGGGCTCCCCAGTGCCAGCTCCCTAGCTAATTAAAATTATTAAAAGAAAAGTCTTTATATATGTATAATAGCGTTGTAATGTGCAGGTGGGTAAGGTGACAGTAGAACCAATACAAAGTCAAAATAGTTACAATAGTCTGTGTATTCCCGAAATGTTTGTTAAGATGTGACTGTGTAGTATTACTGGAAGATGAATTTGTGAAAGTATGTCTGAGTGATTGTTTTTTTACATTTGTGTGGTAAAAAATTATAAACAAAAAGTAAATATACGAAAAAACTATAGATCTTACTCTAATAAAAGCGAAGACATTGCAAGTATATTGTAGAACGGTTTTTAGTCAGGTGTTCATCTGCAGCTGTTGGATTTGCGATTCATTTTTAATTAGTATAATTTTGGAGTTATCGCCTTTTCTTAAATAAATCTTCCCGTAAGGTGTCCAACAAAATTTATACGAGTGTGTCTTGCTATGTTCGCGTGCAAGAAAATAGAGTTGGGCAGTCTTTGCTGTTAACTGCTCTGATACAAAGATAGGTATATTTTCTACGCCTGAAGACTTAAGTCCTAAATGATGAGCACTGAGTTTTGATTTGTTATTTTTTTTTTTGTTGAAATCCTTACATTTTTTCCAAAATTTATTTTTTTGTATTGTAGATGATGTTTCCACAATGATAGGAGTGTTCTTAATATCTTCTCTTTTTCCACGGACTCTATACACATCCTTAATATCTGAACTTACCATTTGGCAGCCGATAGTATTGGATAGACTTAAAACCATTTCGATAAGGTGTGTTTTGTCCTCGTCGTTTATTCTCGGGACGTTTTTGATTTCCAAGTTTACTTTACGTCTATCTTTTTGAACGTCCTCTATTTTGTCTTCCAAAATAGCTATATAATTCCTGTCCACCTTACTGTGTCCTTTCTAGCTTAGAGATCCTTTCTTGAAATTCCTTATTTTGTTCAGTTAAAAAAGTAATAGTATTTTTGATATTTTGATTAGTTTTTTAGATTTCTTTCAGAATGAAAGTTCTAGATTTTGAGAATTCATAAGCGATGAGAACATGTTTTTCATTTCTTCTTTTAAATTAGCCAGTTCCAAAGTGTAATCTTCACCTATTCTTCTCTTTTTCCGGGCAGTTAAAAAGTTTGGTGGAGTTGTTTGATGTGTAATTTCGACTTCTGTATCTGACAACGATTTATTCATAGTATCCATTCGCACAAGATTAGGAGACTATAAGTGAATAGGAGTTAGTTGTATTCTTCAAGACGCAATTGCAAAATGGCGCAAAAACAGTACGGCAGCAGTGTCCTATAGCAAGCGAGGGGAGGAGTCACGTTAGTGTAGGTTGGACCAAACACAAAAAAGGCCGAAAAGTGCGTATGCAGATAGGTCAAACGCATACGCAAGTAGGTTGATGACGATATAAAGTAGGTACGCAGGAGGGGGACGCGTACTAGGCAATCAGAATATGAGGAGGTTTGACTCACAGTTTTGCTCACTACCACTGCTTTCTGCACTCCTATTATTTTTACTCGATTTATCGACACAGATTTAATTATTTAAATTTGAAAACGTAATTGACTTAAGTTTTGCAAGCGAGTGCATCTTGCGGCGGTCCGGAAGGAAGAGGCGTAATTTTTATACTTCCATCGTCAACTTAATGACGCCTATTACACTTTGTAATAGCTTTGTAATTTTTATTTATTTATTTATATTCACTATTTTATCAAGATGGAAAATGTACTAGTTAATTTCCTATACAATTTATAATGCAATATAGGTAATCTGCGTGAAGTTGCCGCTAAAGACCTCCCAAAATAAAAACCCTAGAATATCTGCGCCGCGCATGCGCCATGTCGCCGTGCAATTCGACGATTGATAAATTGCCATTAGTATTGCATTTTATGGATTTTTAGCGATGGCGGAGTTAGATTCAAGCAGGGTGCAGTTTTTTTAAATTATAAGAAGTACCGAATTGTAAGTATCTGAAGATTTTTAAATAAAACTAATTTTACGGATTTTATCGCGTATATTAACTTATTTTTATATTCCCGACGTTTCGGGTGCTTTCCAGCACCCGTGGTCACGGGGGACTGAGTTGTTTGACGTCCTGCTGTCATAGTTAGCCCGGCTACCTTCAGTTTTTTAATATTAATTTTTAATTTTTGGTTCGATTTACGCAGAATGAGCTTACAGTATCTTGAAGTCTAGCAGTGGTATACTTGGGTTTGGATTTGATTTTATTAATTATGGGATCCCAAGCAGATGGCAGCACCCATCCATCTTCTCTATTGAAATTAGGATGTTTTTTAATTTCAATAGCCTCACGAATCATCCTTGGGAGGAATCGGTGTTCTTTTGCGAGGATTTGTGGTCTATCAAATCTAATGTAATGACGGGGACGATCCTGAACATGTTCACAAACTGCAGACTTCCCGATACGTCGGTGCTTCACGTCAGCTATATGTTCTTTAACGCGGGTTTTAATAGATCTTTTTGTTTGTCCTATGTACGAGAGACCACATTCACAATCCAGCTTGTACACTCCTGCATCTTGTAGAGGGATATGACACTTGACGGATGGTAAAAATTGACCAATCTTCTTCAGCGGCTTGAAGTATGTTTTAATGGAAGCTCGCTTCAAGATGTAGCCAACCTTGTCTGTGACTCCTCTGACATAGGGTAGTACAGCAGGCACACGCTCGACTGTGGCTGGCTTCACTCGGTCACTGTGACGTAGGCGCGGGACCCGAAGCTTGTTGTCTTGCAGTACTTGCTCGACGTGCTGAAGCTCGGCGGCCAGATGTTTTCTGTCACAGATCCCTCGTGCTCTCTGAAACAAAGATTTTCCCACGGTAGCTAACTGTGAAGGATGATGGTGAGATTCACCATTTAAATATCGGTTGGTATGGGTATTTTTTCTGTACACAGTATGACCAATAGTGTTATCAGGATTTCGGATGACTAAAACATCTAGAAAAGCTAAAGTATTGTTTGCCTCTAACTCCATTGTGAATTGTATTTTAGGGTTTATGGAATTAAGGTGGTTTAAAAATGCAGTTACTTTGTCAGATGGTAAAATTGTGAAAGTATCGTCTACGTACCGCTTGTAGAATCTTGGATTTACAGGAGCAGTAAGAAGGGCTTTCTCCTCAAAGTCCTCCATGAATATGTCGGCGACTACGGGAGATACAGGTGAGCCCATTGCCACTCCGTCTACTTGCATGTAGAACTCTTCTTTCCACAATAAATAGCCAGATGTGAGGCAGTGTTTGAGTAATACTGCATATTCTGTAGGCATGTTGTTATCTTCTAGCTTTCTAGTAACAATTGAGATGCAGTCTTCAATAGGTAGGCATGTGAATAGTGACTGAACATCAAAACTGACCATAGTTTCATTGTCAGCGAGATGTAGGTCTTTAATCTCACTAACAAATTGGTATGAATCCTTTGTGTGTGCTCTGGTATGTCCTCTTAGTGGTGACAGTATTTTTGCCAAGTGTTGAGCCAACTTATAAGTTGGTGAATCGATCTGGCTTACTATAGGACGTAGTGGAGCGTTTGGTTTGTGTATTTTCGGTAACCCATACAACCTCGGTGGTTTGGCACATGATGGTATTGTCGAATTCACGTCAAGATCTAATTTTTCGGAGTATTTCTTTATTAAATCAGTGGTTGTTTTGAGTGTATTAGTTGTAGGGTCTATTTTGACCTTTTTGTATGTACTTACGTCCGATAAAAGTTGTTGTATTTTGAAATTATACTCTGACGTGTCCATTATTACCGTAGCATTTCCTTTATCCGCGCGGAGAATCGTGAGCTCGGGTCTGTTGCGTAAGTTGTACAACGCTTTAAATTCGTCTTTCGGAAGATTTAGTTTCGGCGCTGAACTTCGACGTAACAAGGACGAAATGTCTTGACGTATAGCCTCTAAATCCTCTTTACCGATATTATTCTTAAACAGACAATCCTCAACACTACAGATAATTTCCTCGTACGGGATTTTTTGCGGCGTTATAGCAAAATTTAAGCCTTTCGACAATACTTTTATTGTAGATTCATCCAGTATTTCTTTTGACAAATTATAGACCGTGCGTTGTTTATTGTTTGCGTCTGTGGTCAACGGTTGTTGCGTTTCGTTTCTACGTTGACATGGATGTTTGGCATTTGATTTGATAGTTAATTTTTGGTATTTTTCTATATGTTTGTCTTTGCATTCATTATATTTCGATATTTCGCGTTTGTTTAAAGTTTCAATGCAATTATTAAAATCAAATGTCGTTAAAACTGTCTTTAACTCACTGGACAAATTGTCTATGGTATTATTTATGATTTGTAAATCGAACCGTTTTTGCTGAATCACCGTTCGTAACAACTTTTTACTTGCCTGATTTAAGATCTTAGCGCTTCCTCGAATGTCCTTTTTAGTAGATATTTTGACGCACGTAGGAATGAGCTGATGGTCGCGGCACCTTTTCAGAAAATTCAATGATGTTACATATCTTGCGCGTTTGGTCATGAGATCTTCTAATCGGCGAATTTTATTTGCAATTACCAGTCCGTACTGGTTTACATAATGATTTCTTATATTTACGCGAACACTACACATTTTTAAATAAAACTAATTTTACGGATTTTATCGCGTATATTAACTTATTTTTATATTCCCGACGTTTCGGGTGCTTTCCAGCACCCGAAACGTCGGGAATATAATATTAAGAGGATATATATAATACTAAGAGGACATACCAGAGCACACACAAAGGATTCATACCAATTTGTTAGTGAGATTAAAGACCTACATCTCGCTGACAATGAAACTATGGTCAGTTTTGATGTTCAGTCACTATTCACATGCCTACCTATTGAAGACTGCATCTCAATTGTTACTAGAAAGCTAGAAGATAACAACATGCCTACAGAATATGCAGTATTACTCAAACACTGCCTCACATCTGGCTATTTATTGTGGAAAGAAGAGTTCTACATGCAAGTAGACGGAGTGGCAATGGGCTCACCTGTATCTCCCGTAGTCGCCGACATATTCATGGAGGACTTTGAGGAGAAAGCCCTTCTTACTGCTCCTGTAAATCCAAGATTCTACAAGCGGTACGTAGACGATACTTTCACAATTTTACCATCTGACAAAGTAACTGCATTTTTAAACCACCTTAATTCCATAAACCCTAAAATACAATTCACAATGGAGTTAGAGGCAAACAATACTTTAGCTTTTCTAGATGTTTTAGTCATCCGAAATCCTGATAACACTATTGGTCATACTGTGTACAGAAAAAATACCCATACCAACCGATATTTAAATGGTGAATCTCACCATCATCCTTCACAGTTAGCTACCGTGGGAAAATCTTTGTTTCAGAGAGCACGAGGGATCTGTGACAGAAAACATCTGGCCGCCGAGCTTCAGCACGTCGAGCAAGTACTGCAAGACAACAAGCTTCGGGTCCCGCGCCTACGTCACAGTGACCGAGTGAAGCCAGCCACAGTCGAGCGTGTGCCTGCTGTACTACCCTATGTCAGAGGAGTCACAGACAAGG